GCTACTATAAAATTCTATAGGTTTTTGAAAAGTGCATAGTATCATATATCCACCATTACAGTGTCACCATTCGCGGTGAGCAGAGGACTGTCCACATCCTAATGCCCAGCTGTCACGTGCACTCTCTCAAAATAAATATATAAAATCTTTTTTAAAATTTGTTTAAAAAATTAAAATTTTAAAATTTAAAAAATGTTTAAAACTTTTCAAGGTTTCTGTATAGCCATCAACAATGCCTAGCCTCAAAGTCCTCAAGCTAAACTTTAAATGACCAAGCTGCTGTTCGATGCAAGCAAACAGAAGAAACAAGGGTTAAAAAACCAACCAAGAAAAGTATTATTGGAAGGAGGAGTACATTCAACAACAGAAGCGCATTTAAATTTTATAAAATAAGTTTGCTTAAGTCTAATTTATAATCTGTGCAGTTAAAGAATATCATGCATTCTGTTATCATAGTACCACCAAAAGTATTGAAAGTTTACGAAGTGAACTGGGAAATGTTTAAACACTGACAAATTTCAAGGAACTTATAATTAACACAGAATGTGTCACCTGATGCCAAAATTTGAAAATCCAGAAATCTGAAATGCAAGTGTGGGCATTTTCCAACACCAACAACCAACTCTCTAGTTCTCCAGGTACCAACAGCAACTGGGTGTCCAATTCAGTCCAACTGACGACCTGTACCTGGGGCCAGCGTTCAGTTCCCACAAGTGAAAGGGCTCTCAGTCCCACAAGACTGACCCCACTTCAGACACCAGTGGCCTCGAGGGTTCCCAGGACTCCCTCCTCAGGTTTATTTGCTAGAATGACTCCCAGAACTCAGGAAAACCCTTTCCTTCTGTTTACTGGTTTATTATAAAGTATACAACTCAGGAACAGCCAAATGGAAGACATGCACAGGGCAGGTGTTGGGGGCGGTGGGGGGGGGGAGGTGCAGAGCTTCCAGGCGCGCTCAGGGTGGGTGTGCCATTCTCTGGGCACCTCCCACATGTTCACCAACTCCTAAGTGTTCCAAATGTCATCATTCCAGAGGCTTGGAGAGCTCAATCTCCAGTCTCCCCTCCCAGTCCCAGAGGCCAGTGGGTGGGCCTGAAAATTCCTATCCTCTAATCACTTGGTCTTTGATGACCAGCCCCAATCTGAGGCTAGCTAGGAGCCCCACCTAAGTCACCTCATTAGCATAAACTCAGGTTTGACGAGAAAGGCTCATTATGAATAATAAAATACACTCAGAAACACTCAGGAAATCAGGAAATTCCAGGAAGTTCTTTACCAGGAACTAGAGACAAAGACCAAATGTATTTTTGTATTATACCTCAGCCTGGAAAACTATAGGAGCTGATCAACTCTGTAATTGTGAACAGGCCCTTGAAAGGTATGCTGGATCTAGACTGGGGAACCCTGAACACCAGACCCAGAAAAGAAAAGGTAGGAAAAAAAGAACCCAGTCAACTTTGTTCCTCATCTTGCATGCTGTGTACACAAAGACAAAGCCAGTGGTCTGCAGAGCTACAGAGTGGTCTGCCTCCTAATGCCACATCAAGATCCTACCAAACAGCACCAGTTCTGTGCTGTTCCCTCCTGGGTTTGGCTTTCCTACTCAGCCAGGCAGCAGTGGTGGTGCAGCGTCCATGAACCCCAGGCTCACGTTCACCGGTTCCCATAAAGCAACAAGGCAATCTGGCTGTCGTGGGCCCCACGATGACAAAGAGGATCAATGTGTCCAACCCGGTTGCTGCAGTCCTCTTCCAGGGCTCTGTGTGTATCTCTCCCAAAGTTGTGGCCAGTCGAGAGCTCTCTCCATCTAGGAACTCCAGTGATGGATGGCAGACAGACACTGTCTTGGGGTGACACTGTGGGAAAGCTGCACACTACTTGCACCATGGGGCCAGCCACCCAGAGAAAGTTTTCAGGCTTCGAATAGCCTCTACTGCAGGGAAATGACACCCTAGCAAAATGCCGCTGACGTACTGACAGGTGTGGCTTCCCTAAGTGTGGCCAGAGCATGCCACTTAGTGCCTGTGCTCTTATGTAAGCAGCACACGTGAAAATGGACACAGTGATCACGAGAATCATTGTCAAGGGGTATAAACAAATGGAATGAATGCATTCTCACTGTACAATATTTTAACGATACGGAACTATCTGAAACAAAAAGTCAGTCTCTCTTTATCCTTCTCTCTTTCTGACTCTCTCTGACTCTTCTTCTGCTATCACATCTCCTTCTGGCTACAGCTGAGAAAGGTTCTCTGCTTTCAAGGACTCATGGGATTAAATGGGGTCCATCTGGATAATCCAGGATACTCACTCCATCTCAAGGACCTAACCTTAATCACATCTGAAAGTCCACCTGCCATGTAAAGTAACCTATTCAGAGTTTCCAGGGATTAGGAGGAAGACAACTTTGGAAGGGGTGTGGCTTTCTTCTGCTACTATAAAATTCTATAGGTTTTTGAAAAGTGCATAGTATCATATATCCACCATTACAGTGTCACCATTCGCGGTGAGCAGAGGACTGTCCACATCCTAATGCCCAGAATCTGTGAGTATGTCATGTTACATGGGAAGAGGGAATGAAGGTTGCAGATGGAATTAAGGTTACTAATCAGCTGATCTTGAAACTGGGAGATAATCCTGGGTTATCTGGCTGGGTTTAATCTTCAAGGTCTTTATGTGGAAGAGGAAGGCAGAAGAGTCAGGGAAGAAGACGTGATTAAGACTTGCCTTGGAATTGCTGGCTTTTAAGTGGGGACATGAATCAAGGAATGTGGGCAGCCTTTAGAAGCTAGAAAATGCAAGGAAAAATATTTCTCCTTAGAGCCTCCAGAAAGAACACAATCCTGCTGACACCTTGATTTTAGTCCAGTGAGACCCATTTCAGACAGGCAAAAGAAGACCAATTCAATAACTAAAATGGATTCGATCATTAACTAGAGTCATGATTAATATAAAAATAGTCATGATAACAAGACAGAGTTACAAGGTATAAACATTTCTTTTTCAAAAAGGACTCAGACAATCAAATTATAGCACTAACCCATCATTTATGGCCAACTGATTCTTAATAATAATGCCAACACAATTCAATGGGGGAAAAGAATAGTCTTTTCAACAAATGGTGCTGGGACAAGTAGATGTCCATATCCAAAAGAATGATGCTGACCTCCCATTTTATACCATATACAAAAATTAACATAAAACAGATCAAGGACCTAAATGTGAGAGCTAAATTTATAAAACTCTTAGAAAGAAACGTTAAGTGTAAACCTTTGTGACCTTTGGACTAGAGGTAATGGTTTCTTAGATATGACACCAAAAGTAGAAGAAACAGAAAAAAAATTGATAAATTAGACTACACAAAAATGGAAAACTTGAGTGCTTTCATTAAGAAAATTAAAGGACAATCTACAAAATGGAAGAAAATACAGGTAAATCATGTATCTTGAAGGTCTAGTATCCAGAATACATAAAGAACTCTTAAACCCAACAATAAAACATACCACTACAATGGCTATAATAATAATAAAAAAAAAAGGTAACAAGTGGGCAAGGAAGTAGAGAAATCGGAACACTGATGGCCAGTGGCAGGACTGTAAAATGGTGCAGCTGCTTTGGAAGAGTTTGGCCATTCCAGAAAAGGCTAAACATGAGTCCCCATATGACTCAGCAGCTCCACTCTTAAGTATCTGTATCCGAGAGGATTAAAAGCATATGTCCACATAAACTTGTTCAGGAATGTTCATAGCAGCAGCATTATTCCTAACAGCCAAAAACAACCCAAATGTCTATCAACAGATGAATGGATAAACAAAATGTGGCATAGATCCATGCAATGGATAGAATTCAGCCATAAAAAGGAAAGACTGCTGATACGTGCTATAACATGGATGCACCTAGGCATTATGCTAAGTAAAAGAAACCAGACACAAAAAGCCCCATGTACATGAAATTCCACGTATATGAAATATCCAGGATAGGGAAATCCATGGAGACAGACAGCAGATTAGTGGTTGCCAGGGCCTGGGAAGAGCAGGGACTAGGGAGTGACCACTTAGAGGTAGTGTTTTCCTTTGGAGTGATGAAATGTCCTGAAACTAGACAGTGGTGATGGTCACGCAACCTTGTGAACGTATTAAATGCCACCAAACTGTACACTTTAAAATTGTTAAAACAGTGAATTTTGTGTTAAGTGGAGCTGGGGAATGAAGTCCTGATACGTGTTATGATGTAAATAAGCCTTGAAACCATGATGCTACATGAAAGAAGCCAGACAGACACATTATCATAGGATCCCACTTGTGCAAAATGTTCAGAACAGGCAAGTCCATAAAGACACACAATAGATTCATGGTTGCCAGGGACAGCGGGAAGTGGGAACAGGCAGTGACTGCTAATGGCTATGGGGCTTCCTCTTAGGGTGGAGAACATGTTCTGGAATGAGATAGTGGTGATAGTTGCACAACTGAGTGAATATATGAAAAATCATAGAATTGTATACTTTAAAACAGCAAATTCTATGGTATGCAGATCATATCTCAATAAAGAATATTTTTAAATAAATCAATAGAGCAAGTGAATGCTAGTATGTATAGAAGAAAGAGAGAAAACAGTCAACACAAACTACCAGTTTTTTTCTTTCCTGGAATGAAGGAGAAAGTTTAATTACTAGTTAATTACTAGGAAGTTCACTATGTGAAGTAACAATGCTTTGGTCCAATGTTTTGCTTCTCCATTCTTGAACAGTTTGAGGGCATGGGCTTATTCCTTATTGCTTACTGAAGGCAATTCTGTCATTATAGGTTAAGTTTGGTGGTGCATAAGATTTAGATATAGATCAGATCTTCAGATTTCCTTACCATTGTAATTGGCTGCATCAGGATCATCCACATTAATGGCAATGACTTTCCAGTCAGTTTCCCCTTCATCGATCATAGCCAGTACGCCCAGAACTTTCACCCTAATTATTTCACCTCTTGCACATACCTGAGAGTCAATAACCACAGTTAGGACAATACTACAGAATGAACCTTTGGAAGAAAAGTTTTACTTGGCAGATAACAGGAAATACGGAAAATGCCAAGTTCCTGCAAACTTACCTTAAGATTGTTCCTTTGAGCAATTTTTAAAAAAAGCTAAGCAAGCAAATCCCTGTCAGTCCCATCAAAATTGAAAATAGGTACCCTTATTACTTATAGGCCCTAAGAAAAGCAGTAGCATGGTTCAGGACAATTCATATTTTTTGAACTGTCACTCACTGTGCCAAAGAATAAATCCTCCATAATGTTTCAAACTCATACTTAAATGTGTTTTCTTGAAATAAGTCAGTCAGAGAAAGACAAATACCATATGATCTCACTCTTACGTGGAATTCAAGAAAGAAAACAGATGAACATATGGGAAGGGGTAAAAGAAAAAAAGGAGAGAGGGAAACAAACCATAAGAGACTTTTAGTGACAGAGAACAAACTGAGGGTTGCTGGAGTAGGTGGGTGGAGGATGGGTTAGATGGGTGATGGGTATTAAGGAGGGCACTTGTTATGATGAGCACCGGGTGTTGTATGTAAGTGATGAATCACTGAATTCTACTCCCGAAACCAATATTGCACTATATGTTAACTAACTAGAATTTAAATAAGAAATAAATAAATAAATAAATAAATAAATGTGCTCTCTTTGCTTTTTACTTTGTAGAAATGACTGAATTAGGCAAATCATACAATATGACTTAACTCTATGAGTTAAAAACATGAATGACATTTTTCTTTTCAGTTAACATTTCCCTGAGCCTGAGAAAGATCATAAAGAAATATAACTATAGTCATAATCTTAGAGCAGCCCTACTTGATAAAGAAATTCTGACAATAATAAAGAAATTCCAGCTCATCAGGTTATCTTGCATAGGCCAATTCACTGACGGCTCCCAATCATTAGGCAAGGTTTGCCCTCCATTGAGATGAAATTTGCCTCCAGGTACTCTTCACCTACTGACTCGTCATCTGCATTCTGAAGCAATGCAGAACACACCTACGTCTCCCACATGTATGTACAGTCCCACATGTATGTACAGTCACACATGCGGATAGACACACTTTTCTAGACTAGGTTTCTAGGTTTCAATGCACAAATTATACAAATGCTTAGATGAACTAGAAGCTTTTAACTTATCAAAGAAACATCATTATTTTGCTAATACTCATATATTTTATTCACAGTATTTTTTAAAGGATGAACTTTGTACACCTCATGACCATCATCTTGACACTACAGAAAAATATTTCAGAGCCCATTACCTTACTTCCAATTTCACACACATCAATGGGGTCATTGTCACCACAACAGCCAGTGTGTTTGTCATTGTGTCCTGGGTCTTCCCAAGTCTAAAGAGTAAGAACAATAATAAGGCTGAGAGTATATCACTCCTATACATGCTACTGACAACGTGGATTGTGTTTGACATTAAAAGGTCACATCCCATGAGTCTTTCTGCAAAAATATGAATCTTCAGCTATTTTCTTCTCATCTTTAAGAAATTCTTTATTCACATCTAAGAATCTTCAGTAGACACAATAATTGTCATTAAATGCTGGGGCTCTATTATGCTAAATATGCTATGTTACATATATTAAACTAACTTTAAGCTTTAAAACAGAGAATGATCTTCTTTCTTTTTTAAAGTTTATTTATTTATTTATTTTATTTTTAGTAATCTCTACACCCAATGTGGGGGGCTCGAACTCCCTAGCCTGAGATCAAGAGTCGCATGCTCTACTGACTGAGCCAGCCACACTCCCAATAACGATCCTGTACAAAACAAACAAAAACCAACCACCTAACAGCTGAGACAACATGCAAACACAAATGCAAAACCAAATATTTACGTAAAAAATACATTAAAAGTAAAGTGCGTTTGATGAACTCTTCATGCTCACTATCTCCTACTAACTAGATTTTCCTTAGAATGAATTTCCAAAACAAAGGTAGGTAGACAATAGTACTAAAATGGAAATGAAATGTTCTGGTGGCAAAAGTGTCATCACTGCCCAGGAGCCAAGACTGAAAAGTTTAATCAGGATTTTCTGGAGCTTTCAATTGCTGGCTTTATTTCCTGAGTCCTTGTAAAGCATCTCACAAAGGAACAGCTGGCCTGTGCTCGACTGCAAGTTTAAAAATGTAGCTATTGTTCTAGTTCTCCCCCAGTCTAGAACTTAATTACCAGATTTGTTTGCCTACTCAGCTGGAGTAAAGGCAAAAACATAAAAGTGAAGGGGCATAAAGGAAGACTGGATGCAACAAAGCCAAATCCAACCTCCAGAAGAGTAAGTCTTTCAGCAGTGTTTTCCCAAAGGGATAATATTTTGAGGCTAACTACTAAATCAACTGAAGTACAAAGTGAAGTGCTATAATTAAGGCAGACAAACGACTCTGTGATTACCTAACAAGCTCGAGGAGTTTGATCTATGTTTTGGTAACTTACAGATTGTTTCACAGTGGATTCCACTTAATAGACTTAATGGTTAATAGAAACAAACAATTTATCAACAGGGAAAAAAGTAAAATTGAATATTTCACGTAAAAATCTTAGGTACCACAGGCATTAGCCTGCTAAACCGGAATTAAATATCCATCATTTACTCATAATAGACATGATTCTAGTGACTCTTCATTCAAATATTAAATAAGAACCTACTATACACACTGGCATGGTGCTGGGGATAAATTGGTAAACAATGCGGATATCCTCCCTCCTCAAAGTGTTGGCTGTTTAGGAAAACAGAACCCCACTTACTACCTTACCACAAAAAAGACTGGCATTAAGAAGAAATCAGGACTCTCAACATAAAAGCTTACATGTGTTAGGTTCAACAGCCATTAGAGCTAAGTGCTAGTAATATCTTGGGGAGATAGGTGTCGGGAAGGAAGAAGGTGTCAGCAAGGAAGAAAGGCAAGTTAGGTGAGCTAGCAAATGGCAGACTTGGGATGTGGTGCCAAACATCAGTGCTTTCAACCACGAGGCTATACAGGCTCTCCATAATAGGTTTGCCCCTCATTCTGCAAAGGAACCATGTGCGTGGTTTATAACCAGACCATATAGAAAAATAAAGATTTCAGAAAAGAACAAACTTTCAAATGTGAATTTAAACATTGTAAACATTTATCTTTTAGTTTATCTTGAAAATAAGTTGTTCGAGGCAGTATTAAATTAATTACTCTTATGTTTTTAAAATCTACTATAGCAAAAACTTTCTGCGTTTAAATATTTTTCACTAATAGCAGTAGGTTAATTTTTTATAAGATAAAAAGTACATTTTGAGCAATCACACAGAGACATACCTGGGGGATGGCACCATAGTTCCAGATATATCCTTTATAAGGGAACAAATTTGCAACGTAACGGAGTTTTCCTTTTTTCACATCTTGTTTAATTGGGTTTAAAGGGTCCTTTGTAGCTATCTGAAATAAAAAATTTCAAATCATTGTATATTTGGATATAAAATACTATTCAAATAAGAATTTGAGGAAATGAATTATGGAATGCACATCCCCTAATTCCACTTTAATGACTTACTTTAACTCTAACATTTTTATGATTTGATTAAAAGTTTTTACATAATCAGCCTTTAAGTGGAAAACTTATTTGAGGTATATTGAAGGAAAAAAACCAAACAAAAAAACATTTACTTATTCCAGAAAGCAAAAACTAAAATTACCTGGAATAAATCCTAACATTGATAAATGTTTTAAGGTTTTTATTAAAGGGCAAAATAAATATTATCCAGCTTAAACTTTCCTTTAAAACACTTAAAATTATTCAAATATTTGAGTATATAATATATACAAAATGTGGTTACTGTCAAAAAGCTTAATTAAGTGATATAAAATACATAACAAATATCTACAACAAAAAGCCAAACCTATTAGGTATCATCACAAAGAAATTAACAAAATGCAACAGAAATTTCAATAAAATCACAGGTGGCTAAAGAAAGCCCGTTGACTCTGTAGAGGAGTCAGTGATGGACTTAAGCCGAACAAGACAGGAGAAAAAGGTTAAATTCTAGGCTTCCAGAATGCCAGAAGCAAAGGTATGGGGAAGGAAAGTCCGTAGCATATTTGCAAACAGTAAATGTTTGAGTTGGAGCCCAAGTGGGAGATTGGCAGGCAACAGGAGATCCAACTGGAAAACAGACTGGACTAGCAAGAAAACCTTCGACTTCAGCTGTTGAACCCTTGAGCAAATCAGTGTGGCTAGGTCAAAATTAATATCCTAAATCTAATTATCAACATAAGGGGAAACGTACCTCCATTTTTGCATTAGACCAGCGTGGTACTTCAACTACCATGTGGAACACATCCTGAAAAAAAAACAAAGAATGGAGATGGGCACAGTATGGTCAGGTTCTCCTCCTTCAGTGAGCATGCCCTAGTTCTTCCAAAGTTAAACTGTTCATTGGAAAGGACCTTTGAAGTCAATGGGCTTTCAACAAAATTCATCAAAAAGATCAGACCGACTAATAAATGAAGAGATAAAGCAAATACGCAAAATAACTGCAGAATCAAGGTGGTGGTGTAATTCTTTCAACTTTTTGTATGTTTCAGCAAACGTAATCAATTTTTCATAATAAAATGTTGGGGGGTGGGTAAGAATGTTCCTATAAAGAAAGGAAACAGTTTTTAAACATAACAGAACTTGTATCTCTGAGGAAGGCCATCTTCAAAGCAATCATCTCTTAAAGGCTATTCACTTCCTTGGGAAAGCTGCAATTGCTCAAGATGTTTTTGGAACTCTGACTTCAGAGGCAGTTTGTAAGACAAACCCCAAGTCCATTTAATTACTTTGTCATACTTTAGTTTTAGTCTCATACAAAATCAATCAGCTTGATTACCCACATTATTCTCCCAACTTGGCTGTTTTTAAAAAATCAAGTACTCCTCAAAAAGACAAGAAGTTTGACATTGAAGAGCACATAAGTTCCAAAAATATTTTAACCCATGGCAGTTCTACTGTAATTATTTTACAGCCTTAAACTGAGCTCTAAATGGTCAGAAAATTATTTTCACCAAGGAATAAAACTTTAAATGCAGTTTTTCAGTTTATAGCCTCCGCAAAAGGCATACATGAAACCAAATCAGCAATTATTCTTTTATAAAATGTATATTTTTAAAAGTGGACTTCAAATGAAAATCACTTAGTTACACACTTCTTGGGACTACTTGTCTGCTACTTTGCATCAAAAACAGGGACTGAGGGGCGCCTGGGTGGCTCAGTCATTAAGCGTCTGCCTTCAGCTCAAGTCATGATCCCGGGGTCCTGGATCAAGCCCCAGGTCGGGCTCCTGAGCGAGCCCCAGGGAGCCTGCTTCTCCCTGTCCCTCTGCCTGCCTCTCCCCCTGCTTGTGCTTGCTTTCTCTGTCAAATAAAATAAATAAATAAAATCTTAAAAAAAAAAAAGAAAACAGGGACTGATAAGTTGCAAGGGAGTAAGTTAAAGGTTTCAAGCCAATAATTACCCTGCTGTTCCTTTTAACCAAACAGAAAAGGTACAGAGTTCACAGTCTAAAACTTCTGTCACTTATTTAAGTTCATGGTCAAACTGGGGGAGGCTAAATCGTTTCACAAGCTTCTGCTCCAAGACTCTTAACACCTACTTGATATAACATAAAACCAACAAAAAAAGGAGATATTTAAGTCCAGGACTGAGTAAGTGCTCTATCCCTGTAAAGTAATAACTGTGTGGTTTAGAAAAAGTAACACATTGTTCATGGGTAGACCCAATCCTTGATTAAATTTCATTCTACCCACTATATGTTTTCAAGAACTACGTCTATCTTGTACCACTCCTCAGGTATTGGAAGATCTTTGTGTTTGTGAACGAGGCAGGACGTTAAGTTTTCAGCAGCAATATCCTAAAGGTTCACAAGATGGTGCTGTTACCACATGAAAGAGTAACTAAGAAGCAAAAACCAAGGAGACTGGTTTATTTTTCTTTTTTAAGAAAACATTACCAAATGAATAAATTACCTCAAGAAAAAAAGTAGCAAATAGAGCTAAAATATAGGAATTCGAAATTTGGTAACTATATTGAACATTTTAATTGAATTAAATAAGTATGTACAGATCCTTAAAAACCACATTACCTAATATTACAAACCTACCTAACTATAATGGGAAGCTAGCTAGCAAAGAAAGAAAGAATGAATCAACATTACGGGAAAGAAAACATCTTTCTGAAAATGGTAAGATAACTCTACTGCAAACAGAAGAATTCCAAATGCCTGAAGGTTTGGTGCTTTTTAGAAATTAGCTAGGCCAAAAAACAGCAAGGAGTATCCTGTAAAGAGCCTCAGAGCCGATTCATTCATTTTCTTTCAACAAATAATGAATCCTTGAGTGCCACTGTTCTGTTACTTTTCCAGGCACTGAAGACTAGCAGTGAACAGAATAAAAGCTCTTTT